TATGATTTTAAACATTAATATTTCAAAAACTGTAAGTTGCACAGGCACCAAAAGGCATAGCCATCATTTGGCACAGGAGCTTTACAGATCTAAATTACAATGGCAGCTCTAGGACAAAGTATACAGGAGGAGAAGCGTGCCAAAGTGGACATGACTTGGATGGGAAACGAATCHCAATAGTGTGCATTGCATTGGCAATGCACACTGATAATAAAAAAACAATAAGAACACATTCTGTTCTTGTTTAGTAAATCAGTCTCAAACATCAAAAGATTTATTTTGTCTGGATATGAGATTTAAACCTCGGTCAGATGGACAGTTTTGAGCTAGTATTTGGTGTGGTAGTAGCTGAGAGYTGTCCCTCACACACTCTGAGCTCTAGAGTTCTTTCAGACTCTGCAGGTGACGGGCATTCCTTCAAAATAAATCATATCCGGCTGTGAAAGTGAGRCGTCTCTGAGGACATCGTGTTGTCTCAGCAGGACTGCAGGACGGRCGGTCAGCGTCTCAGAGACGGACGTCCACGTTGGAGACGACACTCAGAGGAACTCCTCGGGCTCTGATTGGTCGAAGCGTCCGCAGAGAGACGCTGATGGACTCTCATGACTTCACCTCCTCCTGCTGTGTTTTCCTGTTTTATCACAAACATGTTGCACACAAACAGACACCAACACGCAGCTTCCTGTCCTTCACCTCCTCCTCCTCCTGCACACAAACACAACACAAAGCCTGCCTCTCAGAACCCCCCCTCACTTGTTTGGCCTCCCCCAGGAGCCGCAGGCGTTGCCGGAGCCCGGCGCTGTCCCCCGGCGCTGCGGTTCACCAGGTGTTGTCTGCAACAGGCAATTAGTAGAATAGGTGTAGCTGTCAATCAGCCGGCTGGAAGATTAGCTGCTTGGCCGTAATTAGCGGGTTAGAGGCTCCTTGGCCCAGAGGATAAAGGCTTTGCCAATAATGGGCCCTGGGGTATTAATTACTGAAGGTCGAAGCTGCCGAAAAGGCCAGGATCTTAGCAGCAGCGCACGTAAGATGATTGTTTAAATTTCAAAAATAATACTGGTCTGACAGTTGTTGGGGTCCCGCGGGGCGGCGGGTACAAGGTAGCCGAGGTAATTAGTTTGAAGA